CCCCCCCCCACCTCTCCCATCCCTGGTAACCAACAAAGATTGTTCCTTTTAAAACTGAAGATTTTTTACCAACTTCTGTAGTTTGAAATTGATCAAACATGCAATTGACGTGCATTGATAATGGTGATTGGAATGCAGAAGTTGGAAACGAAGAAGGATCAGTAGTTGGAAAATATGGATAGAAACAATGCAAGATAGAATTTTCCAAGACCAACGACCTATTTATTAGAAATACCTTTTTTTCGACAACATAAACGGCGACTATACACGTGGACCTCACCAGATGGAATGCACAGGAATCAAATCGACTACATCTATGGAAAGAGACGATGGAGAAGCTCAATATCATCAGTCAGAACAAGGCCAGGGGCAGACTGCAGAACAAACCATCAAGTTCAAGCTGAAGTAAATAAAATTAAAACAAATGCACGAGAGACAGAGTACAACCTTGAGAATATATCCCACCTGAATTTAGAAACCATCTCAAGAATAGATTTGGCACATTGAACACTAATGACCAAAGACCAAACAAGTTGTGGATGACATCAAGGACATCATACATGAAGAAAGCATAAGGTCATTTAAAACACAGGAAAAAAAGAAATGACCAAAATGGATGTCAGAAGAGACTCTGAAACTTACTCTTGAACATAGAGTAGCTAAAGCTAATGGAAGAAATGATGAAATAAAAGAGGTGAAAAGAAGATTTCAAAGGGCAAGTCAAAAAGACAAAGTGAAGTATTAGAATGAAATGTGCAAAGACCTGGAGATAGAAAACCGAAAGGGAAGAACATGCTCGGCATTTCTCAAGCTGAAAGAACTGAAGAAAAAATTGAAGCCTCAAGTTGCAGTACTGAAGGATTCTATGCGCAAAATAATGAACGATGCAGGAAGCATCAAAAAAAGATGGAAGAAATACACAGAGTTACTGTACCAAAAAGAATTGGTCATCATTCGACCATTTCAAGAGGTAGCATATGATCAAGAACCAATGGTGTTGAAGGAAGAAGTCCAAGCTGTGCTGAA